GGGCCCAACTGAGTCGACTGGAGGTGAAACATTCAAAACACTGACCAGCTAAAGGGAAACAAAGACGTTTGTTCTATAAACAAGAAAAGCGGGAGCACGCTTTACCGCTGTAGAGTGTGATGTCGCGCTGTGTGATGGACTGCTTCGAGAGTGGGACACGCGCGTCAGAGTGAAACTGTGAAGCGATGCAGTCCAACCCGTGTACAGTCCGAACCAAATATTATTGTATATAGTGTCGTCATATTTACATCGCCACCACGATTCAAGGTTGAAGAAAAACAACATGTAAGTCCTTTGGAATTTCATAACGTATATAATAATGATTATATTTTGCACTTCATGACAAAATACTCACAGTTGATTTTCATTTGTAAAACTTGCCCTTTTGTATATATGTAGAAAATTTTATTGTCTTTCAGGTTCTTTTTAGTTCATATTCCGATGTTGCATAGAACGGAAAATATGCATTTTTTTCTGAAAGTTTGCAATGTTAAAGACTTAGGGCCATTTAAATTCCGGCCGTAGGGAGCTGCAAGCAATTTAAAAGTCCGTACGTTAAAGGTTAATTTTTAATTCTGCTTAATGTGTGACTAATATACAAGCTAAATACACAATGAAAAATTACATTATATAAATAACAAAAAGGCAATGACATAATTATCTAAAATGGATAATCTAATTTTAAGTTAAATATTAGATGAATGATTCATCAAGCTTGGATGGATACTTGGCAGACACCACAAAAAGATTTGCCATCACTACTAAACACCATTTACCAGAGCCCTTACTTAAAACGAACCCATCTCTTGTTTGAAATGTCACCTGAGCTGCTAAAATTTTCCAACAACTGATAAAGCTCCAATCTCTTTAATACTTATGTCTGAAACTAACATTTAGAAAAGAATATCTTAAAAGCACACCCCCTGCCAGCAATGGGGGTCACAGTATTGCACAGTAGTATGAAATCATCAAGCCACTTATTTCTTGGGAATGAACTTTTTATTTTTACACCCTTGCTTCTTCAGCATAAATTTGTAACAGTCAATATGAGGAAGTAGAGAGGTATTAAAAAAAATGTTAATACCTATCAATATGTATTAGTCATAATTATATTAGCCACTTCACATTAGGGTAATTTCAAACACAGAATATAAACAAACCGCTTCACAAAACAAAATTGGACAAATGAATGTATAATATTGCATATCACATTTCATAAACAAATGAAACGTTCCCTCACGTTTCCCCTGAACCACTGATTTTACATTGAGCCACATTGCAAAGTTTATCCTGTATATGTATAACCTACAGGTGCAATTGAGGGAAATTTCACACCGATTTGTACTGCACAAGCATGCTGACATCATGAAGTCTCTCAAAAAAGATACCCATAAAAAGACTGTAAATAGAAAGATCCTTCCTTCACCATCATCCCAGAGTTAAATACATACACATTAATAACATTTGAGAATGTACTCTTTCCAATACACAGGGCCACAAAAAGTGATTTATATTTCTGGCAAGGGTTTCAGGTGAGGCAGGCAGGGTGCTGTCACAGCTGCAGCAACACAGTGCCACATGCAACACTATGTTGGGAAGCAGGAATGGCCAACAACTAAAACAATGTGTGCTCCACAAGTCTTTTTATTTACTCCTCAACCTTCTAATGTGTCGACACATCCACATTGGGGGAGTGAGAGCATAACTATCGTACGTGATTAGTTTAAATCATTCATCAGTTTATTATAATACACATGTGGGTTTTTAAAGAAATTAAACAAGCGTTTCAAAAATACCATGATGGTCCGGTTTTCTGAGAGCTATGGTACAGTATCTTAAATTTTGGAACTGGTTTAGCAAATGGAACAGTGACATAAACCTCACCCATCAATTGCCCTGGTAGTACACATAGCATCAACCATTGCTTCTTTCTTGTAATATTTTTTATTTACTTTTTTTTCCCAACAGCTTGCATAAATTATTTGTCCAGAGCTGTATTAGTTTTGATGGCAATAACGCATTCTTCACCACAGGACTTCAAAACGGTGCACTGTGAACAAAACAAAAGAAAAGTAAATTTAGAAACTGTAATATGCCATTCACACATTCTCTCTTCAAAATCACACAATAAAACATGGCTTTCAAGTAAAAATCTATGGTGAAGAATTTATCTGCTTCTTGAAACTGGTATGATTGTTGGACATAAATTTCAGCATGTATTCAAAGCCCATTATAAAATCTTCCTTGTATTGGTCAGAGAACATCTGCATGGGTATAAAGTTCCATGATTACACCACCGTGGTTTATTTTGAATAATTTATTGAAGATAAAAATTTACAGATGTTTCATATCGCAGAGCGGTGAAGATTCATACTGTGGGCCTGTGTAATAAGATACCAAGCAATCTGGTAAAAGGTAAAGCTATCTATCCCACATTTTCTCTAGACAATCGGCTCACAGATGGCGATAAGGGTGTCAGCCTTATGTGCTGGCTGCTCTTTACCTCCCAGGAATATTCCTGGTACTCATTTCTGTTAGAGGCTGAGTCAGCCCCAGGGCCATAATGTGGCTGGAAGGATTAGGTAAACTGAAAAAAAATCAATGACCTAATCAGGAATCGAATCTGCAACCTTCCAGCATGTAGCATAGTGCCTCAACCAACTATGCTACTGCATGCCCCCAAGCAGCCTGGTAAGCAAGTAAAATATTTCAGAGGAACATATACTTCAATGTCCAAGCCAGAAAATCACAGCAGCATGTTCAAAACACTGGCATCCACCTACCAGATTAAACAGTACAATAGCTAACGAGGCCACAATATGAATAAAAAACCATCACATGGCAAAAATAAATTAACAGAAGATACTTCAATACAATCAAATTATGTATTACCTGTATTTCATTAAGTACAGGGTGTTTCACGATTTTAGGGCATAACTGGAGGTGATTTCCTTGGTCTTTGTGATCAAAAAAGTTCATATAAACATGTGTCTGATTTAGGACGGTTACGGAGTTATGACCGTTTTTTCATTCCTGTACACGCCCTCGTGTGAACCGCGTGTCAGCTGGCGGGTTGCTATTTTTAGCCAGCTGCAGACAGAGCGTTCTCGTTATCTCGACACTTGAGAGCTACCTACGGCGTGGTGGGTTGGTATGTCCGGCGCGGTTCACAACCGAGCGGCAGCCTGTGTTGCAGCCGGCGGTGGCATTTTCAAAAATCAGCTTTAAGCACCAATAAATTCAAATTAAAGGTAATTTCACAAAGTTAACTTTACATTCATACTTTAAATGTATCATGTATTATGCTGGTTTGTTATTTTGTTCTGTTTATTGTCAGTAATCGTTACCTTCTATTCTGAGTTTAAAATGGTCATAACTCCGTAACCATCCAAAATTGGACCCATGTTTATATGAACTTTTTTGATCACAAAGACCTAGGAAATCACCCCCTGCAGCAATGCCCTAAAGTCGCGAAACACCCTGTATATACCATTAGTTACACTTATAAAAACATTTACATTCAGCCATATTTGGGAAATTTGAAGAACCATTTAAGCTTGAGGTGAACTTGAAATTATAGTGGAACGATGAGATAAAAATGAAATTTGGAAGACATTTAGTATAGACCCTCAAAACTTCAAGATCAGAAATAATTAAGGAGTTGAAACATATGAGAAAAGACCTCCCAACATATATCTTATGCACTGTAGTTACATACGAGGGGGGACCCAAAAATAACCGGAATTTATTTTTGTTATTTTTTATTTTTGCATTTTTATTGAATTGTATATTAGTCCCCTTCAAAGTACTGTCCATGTGCATTAATGCACTTGTCCCAACGCTTTTGCCACTGCTCAAAACAGTGCTGGAATTCTTGAGGCTGGATACTGTTCAAAGCCTTTAGCATGTTTTCTTTGACTTCATCCACATCACGGAATCGCTTTCCTTTCAGACTTCTCTTCATCTGTGGAAACAAAAAAAAAGTCTGACGGAGCCAGGTTGGGTGAGTAAGGTGGATGAGGCACAATCACCATGTTGTTGCTTGTCAAAAACTGTCGGACCCTCAAAGCTGTGTGGGCTGGAGCATTGTCGTGGTGAAGCAACCAGTTCTCATTTCTCCACATTTTGGACCGTTTTCGTCACTCTCTCTCGTAATCTTCGTAACACATCCAGGTAAAAATGTTGGTTCACTGTTTGTCCTGGCGGAACGAACTCTTTGTGGACAATGCCATTCACATCAAAAAAACAAATCAACATTGTTTTCACATTGGATCGCACTTGACGCGCTTTCTTCGGTCGTGGTGAAGTTGGAGTTTTCCACTGGCTTGATGATTGCTTTGATTCTGGATCGTACCCGTAGCACCAAGACTCATCGCCAGTCACAATTCTTTTAAGAAATTCTGGATCGTTCTGCACTTCACTCTTCAAGTCGCGGCAAACATTCACGCGGTTTTCTCTTTGGTCATCTCCGAGCAAGCGAGGAACAAATTTTGCAGACACCCGTCTCATGTGCAAACCTTCGGTTAAAATTCGCTGGACCGTGCTCCATGAGATGTTCGTTTCCTCAGAAAGTTGGTCAATGGTCTTTCGACGATCTTCATCAATTGCACGTTTGATTTTGGCAATGTTTTCATCATTTCTTCCTGTCGAAGGACGCCCGGGTTTTGGCATGTCTTCTGTTGACATGTTGCCAGATTTGAAACGGGAAAACCACTCATAGACCTGTGATTTCCCCAAAGCATCATCATTAAAGGCTTGCCGAAGCATCCCAGTCTCGGCTGCAGTTTTCCCTAACAGAAAGCAAAATTTCACGCACACTCTTTGTTCCTTCTGGTCGGCCATCTCACTAATTGCCAAAGGGTTGAAACAGGAACGCACACAACAGAGCACCACAGACAAACCACTTAACTCAGACTGACGCCAGCTCACTAACAGTTGTGGGAGACCCCCAGCTAACACCATCTAGCAGCACAACTCGTAACTACAAAGCATGCGCGCGCAACAGGTCAGTTCCGGTTATTTTTGGGTCCCCCTTCGTATACTGAAGTACCTAATGTGAACAGTACCTGAAGCCGAGCTGAGAAATATAACTAGAACAAGTAATGGAAAACAAAGACTGGTATGCTAGCACCAAAAAGTTCTTTTGTTCACTAGTATATTTTGTATTTGTTCCCATATTCTCTCAGTTCAACTTACAGTTATGTCACACTACTCACATCTCTTTATCACTCACTCTGAGGGAGAATTTCTACCTCAGTTACTTAAAAGGTACTGATTTTACAATGATTATAATACAGGCCTACCAGCACAAGCTACCATAATCTTAACACTTTCAATATCAACCCACGTACATGCTCAGGCATTAAATCAATTTTTTTTCCCAATGCACCGACTACTGTGGTCAGAATATTATGATTAACGCAAGTCCATGAATTGCCACGTTGTGAATTTCCAACTTATAGCGAAATGCAAATTAGATCTGTCAAGTTTCTGAACCACATCTTCTACTTTATTCTGATTATAACCTGTATGGATCAGTTTGCTACAATGCCAATACCCACTGGTAGGTGGCATACAACAGAATCAATGTCCAGTTTAACTCTATGTATAGATGTACATGTAAATATAAATGTGGGAACCCCCAATAACTAACCAGACATCTCTGGAATGACTTCTATTATCATGTGATACCAATCATGATGAACTACAATCTCCCCCATACACAAAGTATCAAAACAAAGCACACAACACTGTCCAGAAACCTGACTAAATTAACTTTTAATTACATTTGCTGCTCCAGAATTTGTGTTGACATGGGTTCAACTGCAACCTATGGTTGCCCCTTAAGCATTCAGACCTCTACTGGGTCCACTGCATACCCCTGTGTTGCCCAGGCTCCTTTAAGAGCCTTGACCTTGGCTAGAGCCAAAACCTTTCCCTGTTGCAGCCCTCTTAATATCCATTCGCTATACCCATGCAGAGACAAAGATCACAGAACCATGCCCAACCAAGCCAGGCAAACATAATTTCATCTTTTCTTGGCCTGTTGGCAGCAGGATATCCAAGACATGCTGTCATTCACTGCCAGGGCCACCAGAATGCACACCACGACTGGTCCCAGCTGGACTTGAAACTTGCTGCACTAGACTAATAGCTTCTGAATGTAACAGCACAAATGCACCCACATTAACAGAACTTTCTGAGCACACCAATTAATTTGCTAGTATTTAACGACACATGAAATGTTTAGTATGTTAGGAAATTTCCTAGATCACAGATCTGAAGAAACAGCCGAGAGCACAGCTTAGACATCATATGAACCTGCCACTAGTCAACACATTAACAAATATGGCATCTATCACATCCTGTCCCTTTTCTATCTTCAGTCACAAAGAACTAAGAAATGGACAAGTCTCTATTTCTGCCACTACACAGTGCAGATAGCTATTCCATCAGACAAGATCTGGCAGTCCGAAGTGTAAGGCACTGGCCTTATGCTGAATCCAGCGTGGCCTTATCAGCATGCCTTCCCTTTCTCTCAACTCTGACACAGTCAAAACTTGGTGATTTGGGTCCCATGTTAAGCTGCAGGTCCCCCCTCTGCCAGCCACCATCTTCATCTTATCTATCATCCTAGTATTAGAGGTAAAATGGAAATCATGCCCTAATGTACTTCCACACAGGGCTCCAGAAATACTACAATTCTATTTGTCCATACATTTTGGTAATGCCGAAAATGTGCTCTCCCGTGCAAAATAAGAATGTGTATCTCTGGAGCCCTACACTATCATGAAAATGTGAATTCCTAATTTCAATTTTGCGAGACTGGTAGAGGCCGGGATGGTCAGAAATCATAATGCCACAACACAAACCGACAATGACCAATATTCAGTAACTGCTGACATGTTCCAACACAACGTTACCATCATAATTTCTTTCCCGTTTGTCTGAACAGTGTATGCAAATGCAAATTACAACACTTAACATCACAGTTCCCAAAATGATTTAGCTTAATAAAATTATATAAAAACTAACTTCCTTACTTTGTAAGTAACCAAGATGAAGCCCGAAATTTAACCTTTATCCGATGAACGTCATCATATGATGTCGCGGATTCCACACGTGTAAGGTTTTTTTAATATTATATTAAAAATATAAATTGTTGTTCTATTTACATGATTTTTGGTCACCACCTTTATAAGGAGACAGCCTTCGTTCCTGCATGATCTAATGTAATCTAGGGACGTCATATGAAGTTAAAAGTAAGGACAAATTTAAGAACGACATCATATGATGTCTCGCATTCCACGCATGTAAAGATTTTTTTAAAATTAAATTTAAAATATAAATTGTTCTTCTATTTACATAATTTTTGGTCACAACCTTTATAAGGTGACAGCCTTCCCTCCTGCGTGATCTAATGTAATCTACCGACGTCATATGGCCGAACGACCTCATATGATTTCGCGCATTGCACGCGTGTAAAGATTTTTTTAAAATTAAATTTTTGCTCTACTTACGTGATATATGTTCACCATCTTCATGAGGAAACAGCCTTCCCCCCTGCGTCATCTATGGTAATGTGGCCTTCGTATGGTACTGCCGAAAAAATTCCGAAATGCAGAGTCCGACGTCGCAGCTCACGCACTTCGTACGAACGCTAGACCGCTTCCCACGCGAAAAGCACACACGACACCTCAGTTGCGATTTAGAGGAAGCAGGCCAGTGATGTCGAGCTGCAGTGATATTTATCCCCGCAGCTACACCGGAATAATTATTCACACCTCTCCAGCCACACTGGTCTGGCGGTCCCCAAGTTGCCGACGAAGGTGATGACCCGTCGTCCGCGGACTCAGAATTCCAACTTTGCTTGCCCCTCTCATAATCTGTCTCACTGAACAGCTGTTACTCAATTTCAGGCATCAGAAGACCAACCTTCCACGCCACATTCAGAATCAGTTGAATAGCAGTCCAAATCTGTGTCATTGAACAGCTGTTTCTCATTTCAGCATTTTCCATACGATGTCGTGTATACGCCTCTCTAGCAATGCTAGCAGTGAATCTCTGTGCTTAGACCACGATAAGAAGCCATAAATCTTAACCTCGAGCCCACACATACAAAAATCTCATTCACGACTTCTCTGAACCCAATATCTGCTTCATGATGTCATGGGTGGCTAACCTTATATTGCGATGTTTCAAAATCGTTACAAACACAATGGTTTGACTGCAATGAATGAACGAATGACCGATCTGGCAACACCATATTCCGAGAATTAACTTCTGTGTTTATCTAACACATTAGGCAGCGAGGAATTTCAGACGCCTACAGTCGTGCATAGAGACATGTCCCATACGATAAATAAGCTACAACAAGAGATACCATTGAATGTGAAGTCGCCACAAGGACTTACACTGCTAAAACGCATGGTGCAGAAAATGTATTACACTGCTAGAACGCATGGTGCAGAAAATGTATGAATTTCGGGAAATTCTATTTTGGGAATCAGTGTAAAAATTTTTTACAGATATTAAAATCTGTAAATTAGAATATCTGATTCTATATTCTTTCTACATTAAAGGAGCGTTCATTTCGTTCGTTTATCATAAAAAATGTAGAAATCACACAATTTTTAGAAACATGCTTACAATTTCATTGCTCTAGAAGGGCGGGCATTTAAATAAACTCCATCCAGCTGCCCCTACCGGAAATTAAATGGCCCGTCCGATAAAGGTTAAAGACCAAGGATATGATACTGTGCTGTCTGGTCAGGGCCATCACACACCTCAGGGATGGTGATAGACGAATATGGAGCAATGGTGGACTGATGATTACCATGGAGAAAACCAAAGAAATTCTGTGAAAAACCTGTTCCAGTGTCATTTTATCCACAGCGAACGTCACATGAAGCACCTAGGACTGAACCAAAGGCCCCACAGAGAGACAGGTCAGTGCCTAGTTGCCCAAATTCTGGTTCAGCCCCCAACAAAATTACAAACTATTGTTAGCAGTTTGCAAAAACTTGTTCTACAGCCACTTTTCTGCATAGAAAGGAAAATGTTTCTGCACAAGGTACCTGAGAAGAAACACATATTCAACCAGGGCATAAGTGAGATTTAATCTCCGAGATCCTGTAGCACTAACAAACCAAGGTTACAGAATGTTAGTGACTCTAGGCTCGGTATACAGAAACTAAAATGTTCGTCTAAGCAGAAAATGACACCATCTCATCAGAAGATTTCTCTTGGACACAAATCTTTTGTACCCCACCCAATTCATTTCAGCCCACTTTATGTCCACATGTTCATCCGGTAAAGCTGCACCTAATAGTTTTTCACTCTTTCCTTCATCACCAGGAAAATATTGTACTTCCTGATATTATACCATTCTCTCTCGTGTATCTGACAGCCATTACTTCTTGCAAGAGCAACCATGTCAGGTCACTCCATTTGGTGGAAGACCTCTTACCATTTTGTGTTGCGGAACTATTCAATGATAACAGTGAAACAAAATAAAAATAACTGTACATTTCAGCACTCACCAGCAGCTCTTTACCAGCTTCAAAATCAGCCCGCAGCTGTGCACCAAGCTCTCCATCAGGTACCTTAAGGTCTTCACGCAGGTCTCCATTATCAGCCATAAGACAAAGATAACCATCGTCCGAGATGTCAGTAAGCTGTAAGATTAAGAATCTATTTCTGTATAATCTGTGCTTGAAAATCATGTTCAAGTTTATGCAAGGCACAAATAAAAATACTGTACCAGAAAGAAAATAACAGGAAATGGGGAGGCAGGGTTGGAAGCAAAATCTACACCCCCTCAGTTTACATACTGTATCTTCTTGAATACACCGCACACATTTTTCAGAAGAAAGAAAGAATTTAAGAAAGAAAATGTGCGAAAGAAGTGGGGTGCACAACTTATTCACATGAAAGTTAACATTACTTGTCATATTTTTGTGACTAGCTGATCCCTCGTCCAAGGAGTCCTACTGATTGCCTTAGGATTAAGAAACTGGTGCGAAACAAAGCACTTCACAGATGCCCTATGCTCGAAAGTGGGAGCAACAGGAATATGAGAACAACCTGTCACATTTAGCACCCCACCACACCCCACTCCTCTGTTAGCTTTTGTACTGTCATGCATCACACACTGATAGAGAGGGTGCAGTTCACCTCAGTTTATTCAGGAGTGAAAGTCTGTTTTATGTTATCGGTCTGAGGGGGGGGATACAAGTATGTGATTATGATCTTTCAGTGAGTGAAAAATTAAAGGTAAAGGACAAAAGATGCATGGGAACATATCACCCAGACTGGTAGACGAAAGCTGCAAAAAGGGTGGTGTCTCAAATAGCCTTGATGAATAAGAAGGATACTTCATTTGGTAAAGTGGTGACAACCATGTGAGTTCTGCTAATGACGACGAAAGCAATGGAGAACAGAATACTGTAGGTACATAATCCATTTCTATTTTGCAAGTTGTATGTGATGAAGTCATAACAGAATAAAGTACGACAACGAACGCTAATACCACATATTTTCCATGTTGCACTACACCAGGTCTCGGGAACTGTGAATGTAGCGGCACTGGAAATAACACACGTTCTATTATATGAAATAATGTTTATCAATATTGCATGTTTAGTTTGTTTAACATAATTCAAAATTTCTATTTTTTTTCTCATATTAAAAATCAGAGCATACAGGAAAGTGGCGAAATGGTGAATCATCTGTTCTCTTGAATCTTCCACAGCACGCACCAAATCTTCATTAAACAAAGATGGTTGGCCACTCCATGGATCATCATGCACATTTTCGCATCCTTCATTAAGGTGTCTCACCCATCTCTGTACCATTGCATCACTCAAAGCATGTTCTCCATACATCTCACAAAGTCGACGATGAATGTCACATGTTTCTTGAATTCAAGAAATGGATTACAGACTGCATTTCACATGTGGCAGGCTTCTTGATTTACTTGAACATTGTAAACACAGAATAACGCACAAACACAGTTCGATTGTCTGCAAATGGCGTTCATGCCTTCCCAAAGGACCAACAAACTCTACATGCATGTGCTCTATTGTGACCATAGCACTGCAGTGGAAATATTTGCAAACAGAACTTACTTTGCGGACATGCCTCACATCTGCTTAAAAGTACGACCAGATTTCTTTTTTGTAATTTAACTGAAAAACGAAAAGTCTTACAATCATGAAAAAAGCAAAATACTGCTATCATTGATAATATGCCAATATACTCTACATTTTATGGTAATGAGAAAGTGCTACGATGGGAAGTGCAAATATGATAATACCCTCATGTATCACCTGACTACAAGAACTTAAAACGCCAAAACTATCCAAACCATGGAAAGATCTCATGGTGGATGAAGTAACAACAGGGAAATTTCCTTACCTGGTAATCTTCACGTTTTACAAAAGGCACATCCATATTGTGGGTCGATGGACATATATCTTCATACTTCTTAGCATTAAAAATATCTATACCCACAAGATGTACTTTGGCATGACCATGTTTACCTGTCTTGGAGGTAGACATTTCAACAATTTTGCATGGGCGTGACTGGAACAAAGAAACAGAGATAACACAAAATACATAACCAGAATGCAACATATTGCACAATGGAGGACAACCCCTCCCTCCCCAGCAGTGACGTGGCAGCTCTGGCCACGGTGATGTAGCCCCCCACGGGCTACGTGGCACCGCTTCCTATTGTGACGAGGCACGCAACACCAGTGTCGACACGGCGTCAGGCAACAGCGGTACCCATTACGTAACAGGCAGACACTGCGACTATATAAGGGAACTACACAGACGCCGAAGGAGTAAAAAAGTGTATCAGCCACCGAAGTGAGTTCTCCACTCAGCAGTGAACAAGTTAAAAGTGTATCAGCCACCGAAGTGAGTTCTCCAGTCAGCAGTGAACGAGTTAAAGTGTGAAACCCCGCAACAGTGTGAACAGATTACTGAGAATAGGGTTATAAAGTGTGAAACCCCGCAACTTTGTTATAATTAATTGTAGCTGAGACTTGTAGGTTGTTAAATAAACCAATTAACAAACCGAACGGCGTCTTCAGTGTCTGAACACGTAACACTGGTGTCAGAATTGTTTACGAACTTCAATACGCCTCGACGAATAATTGAACTTACAAGTGCTTCGACTATTATACTGCCACAAAAATGGAAATGCAGCAGATGATGGAACTTCTACTGAAGGAAATCAGAGACAATCGAAAGAAAGACAAAGAGGATATGCTGAAAGAAATGCGGGCCAACCAGGCGAAGGCAGAGGCAAAATTAGACTCCTATCAAGAAAAGGCAGAGATCGGCCTCAAGGAATCGCTGGCCAGATTGGAGGATCACAGACAGAATGACCAAAGAGAACTGAGGGCGAAAATTGACGCCGATTAGAAAGCCTGGCAGAAAGAGATGATGACCTGCCGAGAAACGACGGAGGCGCATCTAGAAAAAGAAGTAAAGATGATAGCCTACCAAAAGATGGAGGTATGTCTAGAAGAGGAAAAGCTGGCCACAGTGGACACGAAACCTGCGGTGGCACAAGAGGTCCCCATAGTAATACCAGTTGGAGAGACGGTGGCCTGCCAAGAAACGGAGGTACATGCAGAAGAAGAGCCGGCCTCAGTGGACATGAAACCTGAGGCGGCCTTCCGAGAGGTACCCATAGAAGACACTGAAGTAATGCCGGTCGGAGAACCGAAGAAGAAAAGGCATAGGGACCGAAATAAGCGAAATATGAAGAATCCAACACGGGGAAGTTGTGGACCCCAGAAGAAGTTGGCTGTAGCCTGCAGAGGGACGAGCTGCCGCGTGGAAGTGGCACGGCAGAAGAAAACCAGCAGGAAGGTGTCCCGCCATGCAACAGTGGCATGGCGTCGAACGAACATCTTCAGGAAATGTTGGACCCGAGGAGATTATGAATCCCGGATGAAGTTGGCTGCCAACTGCATGAAGACATCCCGTCGCACGACAGTGACACAATGTTGGAGAAATGCCTTCAAGAAGGAAAGTCCCCAGGGAACCTTCGGATGCCGGAGAAAGGACTTGGCGCCTCGGTCTCATGCCAGAAAGTGGTAGGAAGACCAGGAGGAACGACGTCAGCAAGTACAGACGTTCGGGAAGACTGTGGAAAGGCCCGGAACACAACACTGGCATCAGGAATCGCCTGAGACAGCAACTACAACGCAGAAATGAAGTGAAGGGCCTAGGTGGCGGACAGCCACGATATGTGAAGAAACCAGACCTGAGGAAAACTGCACGACTGCAGATCGCCAAGCGAGTAGCCGGATTTTTGGTCGGCCTATGACAAGGCAAGTATTGGACCTTGTGGAGGGGTCGACCCCTCCAAAAGGAAAAAAGGGAAACAGCCCGTATGCGGGGGAACTGGTAGTATGAGCACCGGCCTCCCTAGCAAGAATGAATGAAGACGAATGAATGTGATACAACGGGATCTTCTAGGCGAGCTGAAAGGAAACCGCTCGAGACAAGCTGGTCTTAAGAGGGGAGCGGTTGTAATGGCCGGATAATAGTCGTTGCGAGGAGTAGCCGAAACAGGAGACGCAGAAAGCACAGCCTCCAAAGAAAAGGAATGGGGGTGCACCATTAGGCTATTTGGGACGAACAGCCTTAAGGAGGGAGCAGCGTGACATGTTGCACAATGGAGGACAACCCCTCCCTCCCCCAGCAGTGACGTAGCCCCTGCTACGTGGCACCGCTTCCTATTGTGACGAGGCACGCAATGCCAGTGTCGACACGGCGTCAGGCGGTACCCATTACGTAACAGGCAGACACTGCAACTATATAAGGGAACACAACAGCTGCCGAAGGAGTAAAAAAGTGTATCAGCCGCCGAAGTGAGTTCTCCACTCAGTAGTGAACGAGTTAAAAGTGTATCAGCCGCCGAAGTGAATTCTCCAGTCAGCAGTGAACGAATTAAAGTGTGAAATCCCGCAACAGTGTGAACAGATTACTGCGAATAGGGTTATAAAGTGTGAAACCCAGCAACTTTGTTATAATTAATTGTAGCCGAGACTCGTAGGTTGTTAAATAAACCAATTAACAATCCGAACGGCATCTTCAGTGTCTGAACACATTACAATATAAAGTTTAAAACAGTCATGAAATGAGTCAGTAGTCAAATATGGCATGAGAGGGGTTGTTTTTGAAGTGGGCTTTTAAATTGTTCTTATTCAACTCAGGTACAGAAAAAAAAAAGACTGCTGCACTGAAAATTCAATATTTGGCACATCTGTAACAAAGTGTGCTTAATCAAGTACTATGCCACAACATACTGGGGAACAGAGATACAGCTCCATGGCATTAAACAGAGGTGAGTGGACAGCTTCACATCATGTAATTGCATCACACCCGAGCCCTGGTCATCCAGCCCATAACCTCGTCACTATACTGAGCTATCCTGACTCAAGACCTGGATACCACCATAAAAAAATGTATAGAGGAAATGTAGGAAACGAGTATTTCTATATAGCAGGAAGAGTTAAGAATGGAAAATATACATTTATGAATATTCAATCCTTATTCATCTTCTTAGCTTACTCTCAGCATATAAAGAAGGCAGGTGATTATTCTGAGTTACAAAATGCACAGCTCTGAATTATTTCTATACTAATTGTGGGCAGTTTTAAGTAGTCTGAGATCACACAGCAACCAGTCACTATAGCATTATGGTGCAGTTACACAATGTTTCTGAATTTAACTTGGTCATGGAATCCTCCCACACTTGAAACATTTTTCCGGAACTCCAAATAAAATGGTTTATGAAGCTAAAAATCTACATCACAAATATGTGCGGAAGAGAGATAAATGTTAAACAAGGATACAGGCTCAACATATTTAGAAACAAAAAATCACATTTCATGTATATGAAACATGGAGGTTAAAATAAAAAAAATATTATGCAATTTTAAATAAAAAGAGGGGTTTTCTCTTCTTCAAAATTCCTTATACATTTGGCTTGATAATGGAAAGCTGAATTCTGAAACCTGGTGCTGCATTTAGTCTGTTTCTTTCTTTTCTTCAAAATTCCTTATACATTTGGCTTGATAATGGAAAGCTGAATTCTGAAACCTGGTGCTGCATTTAGTCTGTTTCTTCTGCTGCATAATTCAAGATCCCAGTTTTGCACAGCTACATACTGGCAAAAGGTATCAGATGGACATACACATGTTTTGATAGACATACACATGTTTTGATAAAGATTTTTCCTCCGAGGTAAAAGCACAGTTTAGTTTATAAATTTCTTCCTCTGAAAGTGTCATTTCCAATCTAAAGAAGCTCTGCAATGAAAACTACTTTGAGGTTGATATTAAAAATCAATTCACATTTTTAATTTGCTTGATGTTGAAAAAATATGAGGTTACTGAGATCCCCTATTAATTACTGAAAGCTTTTAAGGTGCCTTGTTTATGTAACTTTAGGGAAGACTGCAGAGAAAACACTGCCTCCAACAGTTGGCATGATTTTCTCTATGTGGTTATGTCATATCAAATGAAAGTAGGCGATCAGTTCTTACCAGAATGTCTTGATATACTATAACAGAATATTCTTGAGGAAATAATTCCATTTCCTGGCATACCAGGGTTCTGCAGAATACCATTAGTGAAACAGTAAGTTAGAAAGTCATGCTTCTGGCCAATTTTAAGAAAATTATGAGCCATAAAGCTTAATGGCTTTGTAAAGTGAAAAAGATACATTCCTGATGATAATGATGCAACTCACAGCATTAACCTTTATCCTACGGCCCTTTAAACTTAGGCTGTGGCAGCGGTACGGAATTATTTAAAGGGCCGCTCTTAGAAATCCGTAAAAGCTGTAAGTTACTTACTAATTTTGCTCCTATTTCTGCTATTTCTGTGATAATCGAACGAAATAAACGCTGTTTTTTTCTCGAAAGAATATAGAATCAGATATTGTAATTTACAGATTGTATAAAACATGTTAAAATTTTTGCACTGACTCCAAAAAGAAATTTGCCAATTTTTTTCCTTCTCTGCGAGAATTCATACGTTTTGGACACCCCTGAATGCCATCTG